GCTAGTTTCCAGTTATACTTTAAAAAGAATTTACTACGTATGACCTGCTTATACTAAAATTACATGAAGTAGTGAACTGACTGAACTTAGGGTATTATTTTGCGCCCTATAGGTTCACAGGTATGCACGAGATACCATGATATTATATTGGGTAAAGTACAAAAAACTACCTCAACTATTGGGGTCACTACAGTTTCATACCGCATCTTTTAAAATTGACAATGTTATACCGCATCTTACGAATTTGTGACAATGTCATACCTCTGTCAATTTTTCTGTTAGTTTTTCTGTTAAGTGCTAACGTGGCTTGATTCGGGACCTACTTTCTATTAAAAAATTATTAAAAACTAAAAAACAATTATTTAATATTTTTTTAATATTAAAATAATAATAAAAAGTAGAAAAAAAAGAAAGAAAAACCCTCATTTCATCCCTCCCCTCCCCCTCCTCCCTCATCTCTCCTCTCTCCTCTCCCCATCTTCATCTTCTTCCCCCCACCTGCAAATCCCAAAAAAAAAAAAAAAAAAAACTAGATCCCGTCGGCGGGAAGATGGGTGTGCAGAGAAGGTGGAGGATGGGTGCGGAAGAGGATGTGGAGAATGGATGAGAGTGGTGGATTTGGGGTTTGATGGGTTTTCAAAAAAATATTTTTTTTTTCCTTCCTCCTTTTTTTCCTCCTCCTCTTCTTCTTCCTCCTTCTCATTCTCCTTCTTTTTCTTCCGCATGGGGTGTTGATGGGTTTTCAAATTTTTTTTTTTCTTCCTCTTCTTCTTCTTCCTCCTTCTCCTTCTCCCTTCTTCTTCTTCCACGCCGACGTGGGGGGGGGAATTTTTTTTTTCCTTCCTCCTTTTTTTCCTCTTCTTCTTCTTCCTCCTCCTCCTCCTCCTTCTCCTTCTTGTTTTTCCGCGGGGGGGTTGTTGGGTTTTATTTTTTTTTTAATTTTTTTGGGTTTGCAGGTGGGGGGAAGAAAATGAAGATGAGGAGAAGAGAGAGGAGGGGGAGGGGCAGGGGAGGGATGAATTGATGTTTTTCTTTTTTTAGCTTTTATTATTATTTTAATATTTAAATAATATTAAATTTAATAGAAAGTAGACCCTAAATCAAGCCACGTCAGCATTTAACTGAAAAGTAAATGGCCAAGTAACGGAAGATATAACATTGGACCAAATTCTAAAGATGAGGTATGACATTGTCAATTTTAAAAGATGAGGTATGAAAGTGTCGTGACACCAATAGTTGAGGTAGTTTTTTGTACTTTACCCTATTATATTTACAGCTGTGATTATTACTATGTTGATAGAGTTATCGAATCTTTGTGGCATGATTATATTTATGTTATTTGCTCATCATTGTTGCACCCCTGTGTTAATACTCACCCTAGGCCAAGGCCAATCCTTCACGTGTATGTTCACATCCGCATCATTCGCTCGCCTTGGATCCAAGTAGGTGCCAGTCTTGTCGTACAGATTGCACTAGGAAATTTTGACTTGTATGTGACCGTGTTTCAGCGTCAACCTTCATGTGATCGTAGTACTAGAGCGTATTGATTACACCCAGTTTTGTCATACAAGTCGCATTAGGCAACTCCGACTCGTGTGCTAGCATAGATTGATGAGCAATCAGTTCAATTGTACAAATTACATTAGGCAACTCCGACTTGTGTGCTAGTAGATTGTTAAGCATTCTTTATGTTATGTTTACATATTGCGAGATTATGTGATTATGGTCACCTTGTGCTTACTTACGATAGCTGTATTTTATTGATTTTCTTGAGACTTTGCAGGTTACGGTAAGTATTTTCTTATTATACGTAGTACGAATATTTTGGAAACTATACTTGATTTTACGGCGAAGGGTTATATCGTTTTTGAAAAGGTTTTTACAAAACACTATTTTTTGACCCACTTAGTTTTGTTTTTCGCCCCTCCAGGTTTAGTAGCTATGCTTACATGTAAGCGAGGACTTTGGAAAAATCGTTGTAGATGGTTATCTTCAATGGTATAACCTTCACCCTACTTTACTGTACTATTCTTATGCTCTGACATCACGTGAGAATTGGGTTAAATCCCGCTCACCCGCACACTTTTATGATTAGGCACACTTTTAGGTTTTAATTTATTCACATTCTTTTTCCACTACACTACACTTTATGGCTTCGTCACCCTCCAGGTGTCAGCCAACACAACTCAATTCGAAGTCCAAGTGGACATTTCAGGTCGGGGTGTGTTCATAAAAAATGGTTGAGAAATGAGTAAGTTATGAAGCTTTGAAATTTTACCCATAAACCAGCAAAAATTTCCAAATTTAGGCGAAACAAGATGACGGCGACCGGCGAAGCTCGTCGGAGAAGACGACGAAATATTTTGTCAAAGTTGATGGAATATTCTAATGGCGTCAGGTAACACCGTTAACTTCCATTAGTTATTTAACGGAATATTCCGTCAGACTAATGGAATATTCCTAATGAACGTCAAGGTTTGGCCTGCGCATGGTGGCACGTATGGCCATGCCCTAGTTGGCTCATCCGCCCTCCAATTAGCTTTCTGTCAATTTGTGTAGGTCCGTGACGTCAAGTAGATCGATTTCTTATATTCAAACCCTATGTTTGAGCAATCTATGGAGGTTTTATTTAAGTTTCCATTTATGTGTCATTAAACTAAGTTAATTAGTAATTTCACATATAAGGGAAACGTATCCCAAGGATGTATGGGGTCAAGCAAGGCTCGGAGGCTTCATTTTGACTGCATAACTGTGAGCTAGTCATTTCTTTTTACAAGTATATGCATACTTGCTAGTTTCTAGTTATACCTTGAAAAGAATTTACTACGTATGCCTTGCTTAGACTAAAATTACATGAAGTAGTGAAATGACTGAACCTAGAGAATTATTCTACGTCTTATAGGTTCCCAGGTATGCACGAGATACCATGATATTATATTTACAGCTGTGATAATTACTATGTTGATTAGAGTTATCGAATCTTTGTGGCACGATTTTACTTATGTCATCTGCTCATCATTGTTGCACCCCGATGTTAGTAATTCGCCCAAGGTCAGAGCCATCCTTTCACGTGTATGTTCACATCCGCACCGTTCACTCGCATTGGATCCAAGTTAGGTGCCAGTCTTATTGTACATATTGTATTAGGCAATTCCGGCTCGTATATGACCATGCTTCAGCACCAGACTTAGCGTGATTGTAATACTAGAGCGCATTTATTACACCCAGTCTTGTCGTATAGGTTGGATTAGGCAACTCCGACTCATGTGTCAGCATGTGTCGATGAGCATTTGTTATGTTATGTTATGTTTACTTATTACGAGGTTATGTGAAATTGGTCCCCTTGAGCTTATTTGCGATAGATGTGCCTTATTGATTTCTTGAGACTTTGCAGGCTACGGTAAGTATTTTCTTACTATATATAATACGTATATATTTTGGAAACTATACTTGATTTTACGGCGAGAGGTTATAATGTTTTAAAAAGATCTTTTACAAAGCATTATTTTCTAACCCACTCAACTTTTTTTTTCACCCCTCCAGGTTTAGTAGCTGGGATTTTGTGTAAACGAGGACTCTAGTAAGACCTCAGTAGATGGTTATCTTTAGTGGTATAACCTTCACCCTAATTATTGTACTGTTCTTATGCTCTGCCATAACATGTGAAATGGGTTCAATCCCGCTCACCCGCGCACTCTTTTGATTACGCACTTTTAGGTTTTAACTTTATTCGTATTTTTCCACTACACTACACTTTATGGCTTCGTCACCCTCTAGGTATCGGTCAACACAATTCGATTCGGAGTCCAAGTGGACATTCCGGGTTAGGGTTTGTCATCTCTATCGTTACTATTCTCAGATGGATGATGGAACACGCCCATGTGGGCATGTCAGCCAGACTAATGAGCTTAACGGAAGAGGATCCTCGCCGGATTGGTGGATCCTCCCACCATAACCGTTCATCGTGAATCGTGCAGTCAGAAATCATTGTAATTTTTTTGTTTAAAATTGACTATAAACAGTACCTGACAAAAACTGACCGAACGATGCACGATGAACGGTTGTGATGGGAGGATTCCCGGGATCCTCACAAAGAGGATCCGGCAAGGATCCTCGAGCTTAACAATCTTGGATTAAATTCAATCGTTGATATCTCTATGATCAAATCAAAGGGTATAAAAAAAATTTAACGGCTCAAATTTAAATTTAATATTCACCTAATTTAGTGATTTTTTTAATGATTATCGGAATTCAAATATTTTTAAGTTAAAAATGTTCATAAAAATAAATTAGGATAATCTACATATAAAAAAAAAACTTAAAAAAGAAACTACATTTATTTTTTTAATAATTTTGAACTAAAAAATTTAACTTAGAAATATTGGAACAGAAAAACTGTTCGTGAATTAAAGCCTAAACGTTTTATGTTAAAAAATTTAAATTTTATTCTAAAAGTTGAAGATGATTTAATAAATTGTAATTTCATTCTTGCAAATGTATTTTTTTTAGGTTACTTTTCGTTTTTTAATCCAAATTTTAGGTTACACTCTTATTCAACTTGGGTATCGCTGTCCCGATCCCTAACTGATCATGTTTTTCTTTCTAAAAATGCGGTTTTTGATGCAATTTCTTTTCCAATTTCTTTTCCCACGATGCTTCATTTCCCACAGAATATACCCAAACTCTAGGACTGTAGCTGCACATAGCCCTCCCCTAGCCTTCATCACAACCTGCTGCTAATGTACTACTTTAGTACAACACAAACCCACTACCAAACCCTAGTGAGCAATAGAAATTACTTTAGTCTAAAGAAAGAGGCGAAATTGTACTGTAGAAATTAGCCGTGTTTTGGACCACATTTCAGTTTATTTACAGAATTGCCACTCGGTTGCTTTTAACATACTTTCGTTTTATTTACAAAATTGCCACTCAGGCTTAAGAACTGATTTTCAACCGTTAGCTGCATTTTAGCTTTTGACTCGGGGAGAGAGGGGAGGGGGATATCACGGCTGACAGATTGGAGAGAGACGATGACTCCCATTTTTGACTCGGAGACAGCTGGGTGTCGCTGTGTCGAGCAGAGAGAGGGGGACAGAGCGACTACAGAGCAGGGAGACACAGGGCCTGCATTTCAGCTTTGACTTTGGGAGAGAGAGGGGAAGGGGAGATCATGGCTGACGAATTTGAGAGAGATAATGGCCCCCTTTTTTTACTCGGAGACAGCTGGGTGTCGCTGTGGCGAGCGGAGAGAGGGGGACAGAGAGACTACAGAAGAGGGAGACACAGGGCCTGACAGATTGGAGACGGATGGGAGCTACGGATTTGGACTGAGTGAGAGAAAGATTTTGCTAGCTCCTCTGCCAGGATCTATGGGATTTTCTCCCATTTTAGAGAGAGAGATGGACATGGAGAGAGATACAGAGCGGAAAGCATGGGTGTGTGTATTCTTTAGGGTTGACAGGTTACGAACAGAGTCGGTGATGAGGGGATGCCTCAGGGACGAATGGCAGGGTCTGGCCTTCATTTCTGTAGCTCGAGAGCTTCGGTGAGATGAAGGAAAGGAGCAGGGAGATGGGCTCGAGTCGGCGAACGGCCGAAAAGATCTTCAGGGATTACAGTGATCGGAGAACCGACGCCGTCCACGATTTAACTAACGGTACTCTGATCTCTCTCTCTCTCTCACTCTCCTCCGTTTCTCTCTCTTAATTTCCTTTTGGTTTTGGAAATCTCTGACCTTTTGGGTGATGTTGTTTTCTCATGTGGACAGAGAGAGAGGTCGAGCAAGGTTTCGTCGATTTCGGTCAACTTGGGCTACCCCCAACGTTTGGTAAGGTATCAATCTCTTACTGGTTTTCACTTTGATTTTTTTTTATGGAAGGTATGAGATTTCTTTAATCATACAATCAGCTTGCCCTTAATTATTCTTTCACTATATTTGACTGTTGTAGTCCTCAAATGACACAATAAAAATCCCAAGAAAAATTTTCTCACTCTGTAATTTCCCTCAGATCCCTCGCCGATCTCTTCTCTCGCCTATGTCGTCTTACTCCACCGTTCACGTCAGGAAGGCCCGTGCGTGGTTTTTTGGGTGGGGATTTCAGATTTCAAGGGGGAGAGAGGCTGTGCTTCGTTTCAATTGGGCCAAGCCTCTATCTGCAAATCGAGTCCCCGGTGAAGCATAAGCATTACAGGCCTGCAGTAAATTCTAGGTCACCTCCTCCGTCTCCGATAAGCTCTCCTATATACATAAGTATTAAAAGAACAATTTCCAATATTTAATTTCACCATTTTCTCACACTTCCAGTTGATTGTCCCTCGAATTTGCAGGGAAAGAAGAAGGAAGGAAATGCCGCGAGGTACGTCACCAGATCACAAGCTGTCAAGCAGCTTCAAGTCAGTCTTCCCCTCTTCAGGTCTGTCTTTGGTATTCAAGTTGTAATTTCTGTATTTTCACATGATTTATGTAATTTATGTTAATCTAGGGTTTAGGGTTTGTGCATTATTCGGATTTATCGGTTGAATTATTGTATGATTGCTTAATACATGTGCATGTTGTTGGAAATTATAGAAAATTGTGTATTCTAAAGGGCGTGTTCCCTTGGGAGCTGAAGAAAAAGGTGAAAGGAAATCACCATACCTATTATTACTTGAATGATGTTTCTTTAATTCAGCATGAACCGCTACTCGAGTAGTTGAGAGAGATAAAAGCATACGAAAGAAAAGTAAAGAGAGCCGATGCGAAGAAGAACAAGGAACGAGCTGCTCTCCTAAAAGAAAGAAGACCCACTTACAAATTAGATAGAATTATTTTGCAGAGGTTTGTTGGGTTTTTCTTACTGTTAAAAAATTAGTTGCATGTCTGATATTGTATGTAGGGCCTCTGACAGTTGTTGTTTGGTATGTTTGGAATTGCAGATATCCAAAATTCGTTGATGCACTTAGAGATATAGACGACTGCCTCAGCTATTGAGGACAGAATTGATGTCAAACGCATTCATAACTGTCGAAAGGTATATTTAAATTTTTCTAAAAAAAGTAGTTCTGAAGTATGAAATGATGCTTAGTTACTTCTAGGAGTTAATCGTTTCGTGGAATCTTCCCTTAATATTGGTGTTGCTTTCGTACCAGGTTGAGTCATGAATGACAAGCTTACATATCTTGGACTCATAAATTGCGTAAAGTCTTTGTATCTGTTAAAGGCATATATTATCAGGTTTGGTTATGTATTGTACACTGCTTATCAAATCTTCAACTGTGCATTTTATGTTATTGTGTTATTTGGATATGAATTCTTCCGTTGTTTGTCCATGCAAGCAGAGGTTAAGGGGGAAAAAAGTCAGATGGTTGATCCCTCACCCTTTGCACCAAGTTTCGACTGATGATATTGATTATATTTCGTACTTTGTATTTCTTTTTGTCCGTTATCAACCTCTGTTCGATTCCGGATTGGGAGTTTGATAAAGAATGTGACTTTGAGATGACAGAGTTTTTGAAATTGTGTTGTAGCCATGTGTGAAGCTAAATGATGCAACCTTTGATCTCTCCCATCTGAATAAAGCTAAATTTTTGTATTAAAATGTTATAATATTCAAATGTATACTAAGTTTCTCGGTAGCCAAAACAGACCCTTTACATGATTTTGTCTAGAATTCATTTAAAGATTTAAAATTTCTCTTCACTCTGTTAATGGGTTTGATTTTTCCCCATCTGTTTTGCAGTTTGAGTCTACTGAGTTCTGCGGATTCACTCAATTGCAATCATCTATTTTGCAAGTAATCTCTACCTTCATTATTATTCGCATATGAATGTTAGGTTTTATTTAGATGTATTAATACTTGGAATGTGCTTGATCATATTGCCAGTGTTTGCTTATTTTTTACAGCATTTGCATCGTGAAGTCAATGAAATTGGGTTCCATTTGTCCGGTTTATAAAATTCCATATCGACGCAGAGGTATGAATCATGATAATTTTATGTGTGCAATGATCAATTGGCGATGATACATCAATCTTTTGTGTTTCAGTTTCTTTTGTGTTTGTGTAACTGATCCTAGGATGTTTGTTGCAGGCACTGGGAAGACGACTCTGTCTACGGATCATAATCGGTATCTAATTGGATTTGATGAGCACTGCTGGAGCAACAATGGTGTGTCAAACATTGAAGGTGGTTGCTATGCCAAGTGCATTGATTTGTAAAAGAACTGGGAACCAGATATTTGGAATGCTATCAAATTTGGGACTGGTACTTAACATCATGATTTAATTGAACATTCTACTTTAAAAATGACAGTTAGCGCGAAATGTTTATGTTCTGTGTCATGATTGGAGTGATATTTCAAATTCTTATCAAATAGGTTGCAAGTGTTTGGCAGTTTTGGAGAATGTTGTGTTCGATGACCATAATCGATAAGTTGATTACTCAGAAATCTGTTACTGGTAAGTAATTTAAATTTTGGGGTATTTAGTTGAAAGTTTTAATTTATAGTTTAGTTTAGTTTTTTATTTATTTATAATTTTGGTATTTTGTTTGTGTTTGATTATATTGAATTCGGATTTTAGTGAACTTATGTTTGGGCTTGATATTTTCCTACAGGTTGTGATTGAGGGAGCTAGAAATAATAGTTGGATTTCATCGTCGTAGGTAAGGAAGACCTCCCTCTCTTATTTCCATGCTAATCATTCCAATTTTCATTTTTGTGTCCAATTCTAAATTTTAGAATCAGGGTTTAGATTAGAACCATGTGTTACGCATTTGGGATTTTGAGTACAGTTAGTATTTCATATTTTCCCTCTTTTTTTTTTATAGAGATAATCAACTGTTATTAAGCTGTTTTGGTAGTGATTATAACTTCCTTTAGAAATAATGAATCAAGTGATAGAGAGATAAGCTAATCGAAACAGTTCAAATATGAAGGAAAAAAGGTTTTGCTTTTTTAAGGTTTCAATTTTTTTGAAGTTTGGAGGCTTATGTCAATCTATAACAATTGTTTGAATGGTTGTATCTAAGTATGCATTATACATTCAATTGAGCCGATGATGCATGTGTGCCAATGAATTTTGAAGAGTTCGGCTTGGTTTTCTCTCTTTGGTCTTTAACATGAAAGGTGAGGCACCTATTCGTTGACTAATTGAGTCCCTTCTCCAAGTTTTTAGTATAGATTGGGTCGCTGTAATTTTCTTTTATGAGCACATCTGTGACTAAAGAAAATTTAAGCTGTCAAGTTCCCAAAATGTCTAAGGATATATCAAGTTTAACAAGTCACGAACTGTGATCAATTGAAATGCAGTGAAATTAGGGATTTTACACTAAAAAACTCAGTTAGCTTTAGACCATAGGATTAGCATTTTGTTGCACATGTGAGTATCATTAACCTGCTCATTTTATCTTTCTGGATAAGAAACAAACTGTCATTGAAGGGAGAAGACACTGTACAAAAACAAAGTTTATGTAAGATTTATATACGTGAGATCTTTGCTGCCATAGTTTTTACTTGCTATATATATTGGGTCATAGTGGATAGCTAGGATAACCTCACAATAAGTATGTATTTTTCTTCTATATAATCAATTCTATAGCTGTTGTTTTTTCCTGATCTATATTTGCATTCTACATGTTATCTTTGTGACTGGCTTATCAAGTCACTAAGCAGCAAGCAGATGTGCTGTTTTTAATTTTAGTCAAATGGAACAAACTAATGGTCTAAGAGATTGCCTAAATGGATCCTAGAATAGTAAAAAATGCATAAAAGTTTGAAATAAATTGAGATCCAATATTATGAGTTGATTATCAGTACCATACATAAAACAAGGGAGTTCTTGATTCAAAGGTGAACCATTCCATGAAATTAATTTTACATGCGTGGTTATAGCTTTGATGAATAAGCAATATAGGGTGCTTATTCTTCGTCCTATAGTAGCTGCGTGATAGGTTTTAAAGACACCATTTCATCTTTGCTTTTTTTTTACTGCCAATTGGAACCAGCTTTATGCCGCCTCCCAAATGCTAATCGTTATACAACCACATATCACTTCGGCAACACTAATTCATCCATAATCACAAAATTTACTCCAAATCTCCAATGTCATATCACCAATCAATCATTTACAATTATATAATCTCTCAATTTTTATACAAAGAAAATTGAACTAAGCAACTTTAAAGGATTAGAGATCATGAGCAAGAAATGAAAGCATCATATACTCTCATCTTTGCCTTTTAACCAATGCACGCAGCTCCACTTTCAGTCCTTAATGAAAATAATAGAAATCAAAGTCACTCAATGATGGAAATCCCCTAAAATAGACCACACAAATAATCAGCATGCAATCAGCAATGAAGGTGATGATCAACCTTGGCTTACAAAGCAAATGATCCAGAAGCATGAATACATTGAAGCTTAAATGGTTGGATTCATATCTCAGTTTTCCTAAGGAATTCTAGAGGGAGAGTTTCTCTCATTAAACTTATTAGTGCAGCCCCAAACTCCTTAGTAAAAACTGGTGCATGCTAAACGTAACCTGTAACGTAAGATTGAAAATGAATTCCCAAACCACCAGGGGCAAAATCCACCATTGGATTTTTCTTAAGAAAAACTAATGAAAGGAGCTTGAAAACTTTGAGTTTGAATCAAAACGACAAAAATGTGTCGTAAGTGAATAGTACTAGGAGTATTTTATTAAAACCTTAAGACTAAATAGAATATCATTATAAAGAGATTTTACCGTAATATTAATTTGCTATAACTATCAAGGTATGCAAGAGTAATTCGTAAATGACATCTTTCAAGCAGTCTTGCAAATCTCTTTCATGTGTTTTTATAAACCTTATATGGTGTATTTTTAATCTCTTGAATACCTAGTTTTGCAAATCTCTTTGAATGAGGGAAATAGTTTTGGACTTAGCAATCAAAAGATCCCTTCGCGTCAACCTACATATGACCGTAATCCTCCAGAGTAGGTGTCCTCTTGTCGCCATCAGTTAACCTGGTACTGGGCAGCATGTCCAATGAGACAATATCTTGTCTTGCATATCAGAGGCCTTGTCCTCTACCTCATCTAACCCCTGCAGCACAGTTGTCTTTTGCGTTTGTGCGTTTGGTTACTTTGTTTCTCCCTAAACCTAGATTCTTACCCATGAGAGGCAGGATAATATTAAACAAGGCCGAAATACTTAATCGAAAACATTGGATTCAGTAGTAAGATTTGATATTGGACTAGATTAAGGAGGACACATTGGATCTCAGAGACGGAAAAACTTGGTAGAAATGTTCATAAACTAAAATCATAATATTGAGTATCAGAGTAATAAACAATTTTGATCAATGTGATCGTTTGGGTTGGCTTTGAAGAGCATTGGTGTATTGAGTGGCTTGAAAAATCACTTGGAGTTTGAATCGTAGAGATAAACTTTTGATGAAGGTCCTGAGCATAAATGGCAATTCTATTTATAGATGAAGGTAAATCGACCTATTGACTACGACGTTTCGTGGTCGGTCTTACCATGAATGTCTTGAACGAAGCCATTCTTTTTGTATCAAAGCTTGAAGATTGATTTTCTGCATTTCAAAGGCTGAAGTTGAAGTTGCAAGGAACATTTGTTGATCTTTTTGGGTTTTTCTACATTTCATAAGACCGAAGTCGAAGTGTAGTGTCGTTTCGAAGTTTGTTTGAAGGAATTGTTGAGAAATTTCTTGTTGTGTAAAATATTTTCTTGGTGTTTAACAATGTTCGAGTGAGAGTTCTAAACTATGGATATCGATTATGGTTTCCTTTTGGCTTTGATTGCGTTCTTTTTCTCTATGGCAATTGATCCAAAACATTTTGGTAGGAAGATCAATTCGTCAGATGACTTCTACGTGATAGAACTTGTGTCCTTGCTGAAGCCAATAGGAGTAGAGTCTATGTTCTTCATGTTGCTCGTATTTGCGGTTCAGATGGAGTATCCACTCCTGCTTGGTTTGGCATTGTTCGTGGGCAAAGTCATGTACTGGGTGTCTCAGTATGAGACATTACCCAAGTATCTATACTACATCGTGTTTGGCATTCTGATCTTCCTATTGTTTGGTTCTTTGGGTTTGAAAATAACCTTTGATTTTGGATGGGGGAATGTCGACCTTGCTCATCGACGTTCTCCTATCCAAAATCAAAGATTATTTTCAAAGCCAAAGAACTAAACAGTAGGAAGTGCAGAATGCCAAACACGATGTAATATAGATACTTGGGTAATGTCTTATACTGAGACACCCAGTACATGGCTTTGCCCACGAACAATGTCAAACCAAGTAAGAGTGAATACTACATTTGAACCGCAAATACGAGCAACATGAAAAACATAGACTCTACTCCTATTGACTTCAACACGAAGGACACGAGTTCTATCACGTAGGAGTCATCTGACGAATTGATCTTCCTACCAAAATGTTTTGGATCAATTGTCATAGCGAAAAAGAACGCAATCAAAGCCAAAAGGAAACCGGGATCGATATCCATAGTTTAGAACTCTCACTCAGACATTATTAAACACCAAGAAAATGTTTTACACACCAAGAAATTTCTCAACAATTCCTTCAAACAAACTTCGAAACGACATTACACTTCGACTTCGGTCTTATGAAACCTAGAAAGATCAACAAATGTTCCTTTCAACTTCAGCCTTTGAAATGCAGAAAATCAATCTTCAAGCTTTGATACAAAAAGAATGGCTTCGGCCTTATATTCTTTCGATCTTTATCTACTCACATATGGCATCGGCC